GGGGGGGGGGGGGAGACGCGGCCGTTCATGTAAACACGCGTGCGCGAACGTCACGCCACAACACTTTCAACCGTCGAGACGAACACATCGGGAGCTGTCGCGTTATTTTTTAGATTATTCCGTGCCGATTTTTAATACCGCGTTTCGACTTTGCGACAATTGAGGCGATAATTAAGACGCGTACTCCTCACGCGAGCAGGTGTTGCGAATTTTACCGCGATAGGTAATTACCGCGTTTCATTTACTTTTTTACTTGTTAAAGATAGAGAAACGTCGCGATCGAGTTCCTCAATGCCTATCACACACAAATATTATCATCATACATTTATTATTCGAGTATTATTACTTCTTTATTCGGTTGTCACTTAATTGTTTTTATTGCGTATTGGGAAGCAACTCCAGCGTGTCATTACGACGATTTCCTTACCTTGTCTTGCTGTCGTATGTAATTAATTGGTACTACCGGATATTATTATATAGTTGTCGATTAGATATATTAATATTATCATCCATTAATTAATCGGATATTATTACTTCTTTATTCAGTTATGATTTAATTATTTCTTATTGCGCATTAGGAAGGAACTCGATCGTGCTGTTACGACAATTTCTTTCCTCGTTTTGCTATCTCGTGTAACTAATTAATACTAAATTATTAAATTACTAAATTAAATTTCTGTATCAGAGATTCAATAGAGCAGACACAGTCACACGGCTCTAGGGGATGCGATGTCTGGGGGATGCCGCGCCAGAGGATTCAGCTCAGGCCTGTCTGAGTCGGCACGAAGGTGAGCTTCACTAATTTGTACTTATAATTAAAAATTCGACAAAACTGAAAATTTTCTTGTTTGGAATCGAGTTCGTTAATGTCTCCATCGTCGTATAACCAATTAATACTAAATTAAATCTGTTTTTTGTTACAGAAACGAGCACTCGACTCTAAGGAGATGCTGCGCCGGAGGATCCGGCTCGGGCTTGGCAGAGTTGGCGCGAAGGTGAGTTTTACTAATTTGAATTCATAATTCCGATAAATTCGATAAAACTGGAAATTCTCTTGTTTGAAATCGAGTTCCTTAATGTCTCCATTGTCGCATGTAATACTAAATTAAATCTGCTTTTTGTTGCAGAGACGAAACAGACGACTAGCCGACTCTTAGGGGCTGCTGCGCCGGAGGATCTGGCTCAGGCCGACCGGGGTTAGCTCGAAGGTGAGTTTCATTAACATTTGTAATTAGAAATCCGACAAGATTGATAATTCTCTTGCTCGAAATCGAGATAATTTGAATCGAATCAAAGATCGCGTTAAATCGTAATTACACGTCGAGAGAATTTTTTCTGAATAATATCACTATTCGAAAAATTTTGATTTGTTCTGATTGAGATTTATTTGCAACGTCGAGAAAAAAAAAGTGGAATATTCCAAGTGAATGCATTCCGAAAAATTCTTCCAGCGTGAAAAATATCGCGTTTATTTTTTTTTTAATCTTTCAAACTTCTTCACTCAAATCGTCATCAATGCACGAATCTAATCGGCGAAATGACATTTTTCTGTTCCAGAATCGAAAGCAGAATGTGGCTACCCTGATCGGCGGTTTGGTGAGTCAAAATAAGAAACATATTAATAATAGAAAGACAAAAAGTCTTTCCATGTAATGCTTATCGAATCAATGCGATTTACTTTGCTGTAGATATAGTATGTGTACGTGCTGTTCAATAAAAATTACACTGGTCGAAACAATTCGAAGATCATTTTTTCAAATAATATTAGTGATAATACAAGTTTTACATAAATTTGGCAAATAAATTTTCAAATATTTTTTTTCCTAATGTATATACAATCAGTAAAATCAACTATTTCTTTAGATCTATTGTTATATATAATATAGAACTCTAGAACTATTGTAAAACAAACCGGAACTCTAAAGAAATAGTTAATTTAAATAGTTTTTTTGATTAGGTGCGATGTGAGAACTTAGCGCACCTTTTTTTGAAAGTCTTTTTTTTGTATTTAATGACCAGAACTGTTTAAAATTGTTGCATAGAGCTCTAGAACTTTTCAAGAGAGTATCAGAACTGCAAAAAAATGTCACATTTTTTAATACGGTGTGCCAAGACTTGGCGCACCATATTTCAAAATGTGCCATTTTTTTTAAAGTTTTGATACTCTCTTGAAAAGTTCTAGAGCTCTTTGCAACAATTTTCAATAGTTCCGGTCATTAAAT